CTTTTAGGGGCAGCTGCAAAACAAATCACTTTACCATGAGTTAGCAACAATAGAGTTCAGATAAAAGAGTCCAAAATCAAAGGGTGACGACCTTCAAGGATTTTAGATTCGATGCGAACATCTTCGATACTAATATGAAGGTGCGCTTTGAAACTATCGAGCATATGTTTAGTCGGAACCACCCGTTGGGCTTTCAGTTTCGACTACTGTTGAAGGATTTTTATAGAATCTCCATAGATAAATCAATATGGAAATAGAGGGGCAAGAGCCACTCCAAAATCAGCGATTGGCAATCGATGGATTTTTGGGGGAAATAAGGCGAAAGCTACCTTATAACGTTTCTCACGGGGAACGTACGAAGGGATTTTTAAATTCTCCATTTTCTTAGAAAAATTTTCCTTCAGTGTGACAGCAGCCTCGCGGATGGTTCGACTAACATCATCTAGTTGATAGGTGGTTTCAAAGTACTTTTGGAAGGCTTGAATCTCCTTGATATGAGTAGATGTATCTTTCTTGATCTTTTCCTACACATCAACGAAAGCTTGGTCAATCAAGCGAACAAAGCTTGAAACGTCAAGAAATTCTGAAGTATAGTGTCTGGACCACCAATTATAGAATTCTTGGGTGCAGAGGTAAGAGGGTTCGAAGTAAACAGGTGTTTAAAGGGACTTGTGAGCATGTCGAGCTAGGTGCGTCGAACTCTCAAAAGTATTGAAGACGGCTTTAGGGAGGATAACGTGGGTTTTCTTGTCGTATAGACATTTAGGTAGCGTTTGGATTAAACCAAATTATCGAGATACAAGGTTTGGCTAGTAAGCCACCAGAGCTGCCTGGCCTCTTAGGAGGTTGAGTTTGTGGATTATTAATCGAGGTATTAAGAAAACTTCCTCCACAAGCTTCGATTCTTCTTCGTGTTTTTTGAACGCAGGAGGAAAAGGCTTGGTAAACCATTCAGGACCATATTTCCTCTCTGCAAAAGGCGTCATCCGTTGAGTGAACTCATGACGTTTGGCGAACATTTTAATGAATCCAGAGAGATTCGCTCTAAGCGTGTGACCTTCTTCGCTGGGGGTGAGCTTGACCAATCGAGTCCATTCGACTCGTCTTCCTATGATTGCAGGGTCTTCTTCATCAACTTCTCCTTTATTAGGAAGGCTGGTTTCGAACGTAGCATTGAGCCAAAGTTAAACCAGCCAGAAGGGCCCTAATAGTAAAAGGTTCCTATTGCTTTCTTTATTTTTTTGTCTGTCAGCGCCTTCGCTCAAAGACTCGTATAAACTGGCCAGAATCATCTCACTCAGACAGATGCCTCGATTCAAGTGCAGCAGATTGGCCAAGGTAAGGTACTTCCTCGCCATCTGCAGAGATTTTATACAAAAGACGCAACAAGATAGCCACATGGCTAGAAAGGCTATATGTTTCTGTTCATCGACGGTTTTTGTTTGTTTGTTGTGATAATGATTGATGAAATGGGTGTATGTATGCTTGGTGGTCGAAAATCTTATAGAGTCTTGGCAATCCACTTCAGGATCATAAACCAGCCCATAAGGTTTTAGCCCTGTGATAGCGGCTAGGTCGAAAAGAGTGGGCATCATCATCCCACAAGGAAGATGGAAAGTGTAGTGGGTGTTATCTCAGAAGTACAGGGAGGAGGCCAGCATAATAGGGTAATGAGTAGGACCTGCTTTCGACACCATGATTAAATCATAAATGTCAGTTTCCTTCCAATCGTTTGCTTTGGCCTTTTCCATTTTAGTCAGCTAGTTCAGGTAGAGATCAGAATCCTTGAAATAAGGAGTGGCTCTGAACAACATGGATCCATCATTGAGGTACTTAAGGTCCATATGGTGTAAATCCAAGCTATTTGGACTGTCAGTGGGTACCTTGGTAGAGTCTTTTTGCCCTAGAGGTTTTGTTTTGTGATAAGAAGGGAAAAAGCCACTAAGGGTTGAGTAGTTGATTCCTAATGGAGACAGTGGGCCAGCCAAAGCTAAAGGATTACCTGCAATAATGATAGTGACTATTATTTGTGATTCGTAAATGTGCCTTTTTTCTTCTATCAAAGGTTCAGGGATGAACTGTTGATTCTTTACCATCTTGGGCCCACTCAGTATGGTGAAAGGAGGGAGGAGCGACGCAGATCGTAGTCCTTTTGCTTGAGGATTTTTCTTCTGGTCTTTGGTGGTAGCAGTAGAAGACGCCATTGATAAAGTTTTGGGAAGAAATGGGTTTGCTAAAGAAAGATTGAAGTTGTTTTGGAAGAGGTACGTAAGAGTTTGTTAAGAGTGAAAAGCTTAAAATAATTTCTGGAGAAATTATTTATAAGGCGTTTTGAAGTAATCAAAAGCCACTATTCATCATTGAGGGCTAGGAGTAGTGGGTCATGCGATGTCCCAAGACTGAAAATGGGGGCAGTGGCAGTTATTGCCTAGACCCACGATTTCATATGTCCTAAAAGAATGATGATGGTCTGAGATTTTGTGAAATTCCCAAGAAATTGCCCATAATGGCCCATGACGTCATGGACATGCGTGAAGATAGTTGAACAGTTTTTCTTTTAAGTCATGGGTAGTCAATTGCATTGACACCTACGTGGAGATCGAAAGATGGCTTCGAATTGGATGCTATCAAAAAATGGTCTTTTTTCTTCAGTATGGTCGAAAAAGACATTTTTGGGGGGCAATTTGTTAGCTCACAAATTCGACGCTCATATTAAGATTAAATATTTGAAAAAATATTAAACTCTTGAAAAAATGTAAAAGACTTCGAATGGGGAGGCCTTCGAGTAGGTTGGGTTATTTGAGCGTTTGGGACTCAAAGAAAATTATTGAATATTGAGGATACTACCTTCGACCGAGGATGTTGGCTGAGTATTAGTGAATTTTTGAAATTCAAATAAATGAGGGAGTAGTTATGCTTTCTCATGACGAAGCAAGACAAGTGGCGCTCATCTAACAAAGTGATTACATGCAATACGATACTTGTCATAGGTTGGTGATTTTAGGAGGTTAATGGTAGTTAGTTTTACTATTATAAATAAGAGTTCTAGCCACAGAATTCAGGGTGTTGTAATTTACTATTTATACAAGTCACTCCCAAAATTATCAAAGTATCCGAGTGTAGAGAAACGAGTTCTAGGAGAATGTACGTCATGCAAACACATCATCTTTCCTTTCAGTAAAGCTTATTTTACTTGTTTAATTTTAAAGATTTTATCTTTATTTTCTTGCCATTTACATTTTCCCCGCATTTTGCTTTACTTTGTTAAATACTTTTAAAAGTTCCTTACTTTTTCTTTCTAAAAAGTTACATCCTTTCGTTTCAGTCGAGTCTTATATTTACGTTAAAACTTTCCCTCAAAACATTGTTGAAGTGTGTAGTTTAGATAATTGATTTCACATAAAATTTAGCATATGTCCTAGGATCAATCTGATCGATCTTGTGAGTCACCAAAGTTAGATTTGAAAGATACGCGGTTGTTTTCCAATTTTCACGGGAAACAAGTGTCTGGTGATCTTTCCCCAAAGGCAAACCCAGAGAGAGAAGATTAGGAGGACACCATGCTTGTGATTTGATGAGATGCAAATGATATGATAGATGGAATCTTAGAGGTAAAAATTAGGGTATGACATTAGGTAAAGTAAAGAACCTATCATAGCTCTATATAGCCTGTGACACACTTTGGTGCTACTTTTCTCTTTGCTCAGATTGCAGATAGATGCATATAAGTAGTCATGATATTGTAATCATCTAACTTGAATTTCTTCAAAAGGTCCATTGTGTACTTTGTTTGATGAACATAGACTTCCTCCTTACATTGGTTGATTTGAATTCCAAGAAAAAACTTCAACTCTCTCATCATACTTATTTCAAATTCAACATTCATTGACTCAGAAAACTCTTTGCAAAAAGGAGCATTATTAGAACCAAAAATAGTACCATCAAATTATACATGAATAATTGAGATGTCATTTTTTAGTGTCTTTATGAACAGTGTAGTGTTAACTTATCCTTTTCGAAAATCATTTTCTAATAGAAAATTAGTTAGTCTCTTATACCAAGCTCTATGAGCTTGTTTGAGGCTATACAATGATTTTTTTTGTTTATAGGCATGATCAAAATAATATAATTTAAAAATTCAGGGAGTTATATGACATACACTTATTCAAAATAACATAATTTAAAAATACATTACCAACGTTTATTTGATATAAAGTGATATTATGATTAATGACATCAGATAAAAGTGGTTTAATTAGTAATATTATGATTAATTGCCTCTATCCTTGCAACATGCGCAAAAATTTTAAAGAAGTTAACATCTTATTGATGGTAGTCAACCCTAATTTTAGAGTCTAGATATAGCTTGGAAAATGATGGAGTTTTTTAAAATTTATTATCTTAGATGTGTGTCACATGTCCATTTATAAATTTTAGTAGGGTGACTTATAACTAATCTTAATTTGATGATGATATTTCCTAAGAATTGCTATCATCTTTATTATTCTTACAAGACAATGGTGACATGTTTTATTGCTAACTCGTTAATGTACACATATAAATACCAAAGATGGATAGTCGATCATAATAGAATAGGTCGAGAGCTATGACGTCCCCGAGTCCCAGTTAAAAACAGTAGCTTTTAATCATGACCCTTCCACTATTTTCAATTCCCCTTCTACATTAAACATACATTTACTCTTTTTTAACTAAAACATGGGTGGCAACAACAAACAGTCTTCAAATTGTTCTACAGTTGTAGAAGAGTTATCAATAATTTGTTTTAAGGTCTTTAACACGTGCTGAATTGCAAATCACAGACTCGTTCTTGTCCCAGTATAATCTGTAAGCTACAAGACAACAAAAGGCATATAACGATTCATACACAAGATATTCTTTTGATTTTTAAAGAAAATTACAAAAAATTCTCATGTAATTGATGCCAAGAGAGATAAACATTAACAAGAACCACTTCTGGAACACGCTACAAATGATACAATTTAAGCACTGGTAAACTTGGTCACGGCTTTTGTTCCTTCAGAGACAGCATGCTTAGCCAATTCTCCAGGTAGAACAAGTCTAACTGCAGTCTGAATTTCCCTTGAAGTGATTGTTGGCTTCTTGTTGTATCTTGCAAGTCTTGAAGATTCTGCAGCAAGTTTCTCGAAGATGTCGTTGATGAAACTGTTCATGATACCCATGGCCTTGCTTGAGATACCAATGTCAGGATGAACCTGCTTCAGAACTTTGAAGATGTAGATCTTGTATGTCTCCACGCTCTTCTTGTTTCTCTTCTTCTTCTTGTCTCCGGCAGCGGCACCACCGTCCTTGGGTAGCTTCTTTCCGGCCTTGGGCTTCTTTTCGGCAGGACTCTTCTCTGCTATGGTGGACTTCTTCTCTTCCACGGGTTTCTTCTCAGCTGGCTTCTTCTCTCCCTTTGGCGCCATTGATTTGATTGAGAGAAAAAATCTAGGGTTTGGAATTGGATATGAAATCAGACTGAAGAAATTAGATTGATGAAAAAATCGAAAGTTGCGGTGATTTATATATAACAAGTTCCTCGCGTTACTATTGGCTTGTGCGCTTTCTCGCGGATCAATGACGTGGAACTTCTCCACCCGTTGCACTGGTTTTCATTGGGATGTAACGATAGACGGTCACGATCTTGCTTTGAGTCAACAATCATAAAGATGCTGTGGGTGATATGCTTTTTTAATCGGAACAAAGTTATCTTGCAAACTTCTTCGACGTTATGTTTCATTAATTGTTACTGCCTTTAAATTTTTTAATGGTTTTGTTTAGGCTTAATTTTATAATTAGAATATTATAAAAAGTTCTTGACAATATTCTGAAAAGTTTGTGTATAATATTGATTTTTTATAATATAAAATGAATTAAAAATCAAATTGTAAACTTATTTTTATAGAGAAACTTTTCATAAATTATAAACTTATTAAAAACTCATTCAAAACTTTAACATTAAGATTTGAGTTTGTCTCACAATTGCACAATTAATGACAATTCGTGTGAGTTTGTAGAAGGTACAGTATGTAGCTACTAATTTTGATATGTATATGTTTTAAATTAATTTTATATAAAAAGTTATAAAAAAATGAGAGACACAAATTGTTTATGATATGATTTGTTTTAACAAATTGTTTGAAAAGCTATAAAAAGATTATTTATATATGATTTGCTTTAACAAACGGTTTGACTTTAGCTTAATTTATTACTCATCTGATTTAAAATGACTGTCGTTTGAGATTTTTGCACACAGATTAAAAAATGCAATGATATTATTATAAAATATTTTATTTTTATTAAATTAGTCTTATTAATTTATTAAAAATAATGTATAGAATAATAATTATATGACACAATTGAAAAAATAACAATTATTACTGCATTGAAAAGTGAGAATGAGAATTGGATTCTCTCCAATTTTTTTTCTCATGTGCAATTTTAAACAATTATATCTATTTTTATTTTCATTTATTTTTATTATTTTTATAGTATTTATTTATATTATTATTTTTATGTTTTATTATTATATCAATCATTTGATTGAAATTGAAAATAACAAGAATTTGATTAAGGAACATATTATACACATCGCAATTAGATTAATCTAACAATTAAAACATATGAAAGAGAAAACATAACATTTGAAGAAGAGAGAAAAAATATATTTTTTTTATTTTCCTTTTTTAATCATTTGATTGAAATTGAAAATAACAACAATTCGATTAAGGAAAAATTATTATGCACATCGCAATATGTAGCTATTAATCTAACAATTTTTATAGTATTTATTTGTATTATTATTTTTATGTTTTATTATTATATCAATCATTTGATTGAAATTGAAAATAACAACAATTCGATTAAGGAAAAGTAATTATGCACATCACAATTAGATTAATCTAACAATTAAAACATATGAAAGAGAAAACATAACATTTAAAGAAGCGAGAAAAATATATTTTTTTTATTTTCCTTTTTTAATCAAACTTTTAAGAAATAAAAATGAGAAACATTTAAAGATTACATCAAAAATTGTAAATTTTTTCTTTAATTTTTGTGATATTTTTTTTATAATATTGCTATAGCAGTTAAATCACATTAATTAAAAATATTTTAAAATTAATTAAAAATACATTTTAAAATTAATTAAAGAAGATTAAAATAATACTCCAACCTAAATAAAAAATTAAAAACTTCATAAAATGTAAAACATATTTTCTGTATTATAAAAAAATGTAGAGTCTCGTATTAGTATTATGTTCTCGTTGTCATGAACGAACATCATAGTCAAATGATTAATAAGAAATTATATGTTTTCTTTAACAAATTCAATCTACAGAAAATCATGTCGTTGTTATCATAAAAATTTGTCAAACGTTATTATTAAACATAGTGTCATATTCGAAGACTATCTTGTTGCAACCGTGTGTAGTTAAAATGCACATGTGTATAGATCAAGTCTTAGAAGTAGGCAACCAAGACCACCATCTAGGGCCTCAAATTTTTTATTTATTTAATAGAAATTAATTATTTCTATAGAAAAAAATCAATTATTTTTAAATTATTTTTATATAATTAAATAATAATATTTGTTTAAAATTTGTATTAGTTAGTTTAAAAATAACTCATATAGATATAAAAAAAACTCAAGACTTAATACATAAAAAAATGATATTTATTATTTTTATTTTTTGAAATTTTAACAATATTTTTTAAAATAATTTTTGAAAATATATTGAGAAGATTACATAAACATGATGATTTTATTATCAATGAAAAATAAATTTTAACGGGAAATCAATTCTAAAAATTTAAATAACTTTTTTTCATCTCAAAAACTCATTACAATTTTATATATATATATATATATATATATATATATATATATATATATATATATATATATATATATATATATATATATATATATATATATATATATATATATATATATATATATATATATATATTACTAAATACTATTATTATGTTAAAAAGATTTAATTTTAATTTTAAAAAAAAAAACTCAAGTTGTGTTGAGTCATCCTTGCGATGTGTATAATAATTGTTCCTTAATCAAATTATTGTTGTTTTCAATTTCAATCAAATGATTGATATAATAATAAAACATAAAAATAATAATACATATAAATACTATAAAAATGATACAAATAAATGAAAATAAAAATAGATATGCATTTCTCTCTCATCTTTAAATGGTATGTTTTCTCTTTTATGTTTTTAATGGTTGGATTAAATCAATGGTTCAAAATTACACATGAGAGAGGGCATGAGAGAAAAAATGGGAGAGGATCCAATTCCGTGAGAATGATATTCATTTTGAAACAATTTTTTTCCTTAAAACGACATTCATTTTGAAACAGAGGGAATATGATACTAGAATGTGATTCACTTATTATCTTATATAAACACTCCTTCCATAACTCCTATTTTTTATGAAAACGAGAGACACAAAATATTACGTGAAAAACTTCAATTTTCTCTATATTATATCATCTAGACATTTGAAGGTTTTTTTTGTTATCTTGTACTCCTATCAAGAAGGGTTGGTTGAATTTCAGAAGATTTGCACTTATGAAATGGTTAGGTGCTTAAGGATGTCTCAAATTTGTTTAATTGTTTATTGTTTTGCATAATCAATTTGTGATTAGGAGAAGATGTGATCGAGTTATGTTGATGGTCAAATTTCCCCGACATGTGTGTTTATGTTGCTTTAAACATTAAAGCAAACACATTAAGTTGATTTAATAATAGAGATCTAAAATAGTTAACATTACTAAAATAGGCGTAAGTCGAAATCCTGTGGGAAGCAACTTGCTTCTACACTTCGACACACTAATACAACTCGACATACACATTAGGATAATTCGACTAGACCTTGTTTCTGTCAAGCTACACTGCTTCGACATAAGGAATTATAAACTCAACACACCGCCTAATTTATTGTGTTTAAGTTATCTATATTCATCATAGACCTTATCTTCTTGAACACTTCAATTCGTCATGATATCTGCAATCTAATTCTTAGTTCTACAGTATTCCAAATCCATCTTCTCCTCTGCTACCTGCCCTCGAAGATAATGGAACCTCATTCGGATGTGTTTGCTTCGACCATATGCTATTAGATTCTTCGCCTAGTTGATTGCTGACATGTTGTCGATCTTTATGGTAATTGCTCCATGAATCTTCCATGTAATCTCTTCTATCAGGTTCACCATCCATGTTGCTTGACATGCACAAAGAGAATCAGTTGTGTATTCTGCTTCGCATGACGACAATGCCACTATTGGCTTCTTTCTCGAACTCCAAGAAATTGGTGCACCACCTAGCATAAACACATAGTCAGCTATTGATTTCTATCCTTAGCATCACTACACAAACTTGAATCACTGTATCCCACTATCTTGCATTCTTTTCCTTCATCAGCTGCAGGAAACAAAATGATGTAGTCGGAAGTTTCTTTTAGATGCCTTAGTATCCTCTTCGTCACTGCTAGGTGTGATACCTTTGGCTTCTGCATGAATATACTTACCATACCCACATTGTATGCTAAGTCAGGCTTTATGTGACAAAGGTATCAAAGTGACCCAATAAGTCTTCTATATTGGGTTAGGTCGACATCATCTTCATCTAAATATTTCGACAGTTGCAACCTGGTCTCAGCTGGAGTCGAAGTTGGGTTGCAATCTTGCATCTCAAATCTCTTGAGTATTTCGCCTGCATATCTTTTTTGGTGCATCATCAAACATTTACTACTCTTGTAGAATTCGATGCCAAGGAAATATGAGAGATTTCCCAAGTCTGACATTTCAAACTCCTCACTTAGGTCATGTTTGAAATCTTCAATCTCCTTCTTGCAACTTCCTATTATCAACAGGTCATTGACATAGAGACATAGTATAAGCAATTCATTATTGCTTCTCTTTACATATAATCCATGCTCAGTTGTGCACTTCATAAATTTATTCTCCCTTAGAAAGTTGTCGATCTTCTTATTCCAAGTTCTTGGAGCTTGCTTAAGTCCATATAGGGCTTTATGCAGCCTGTACACCTTTCTTTCTTCGCCTTGTTCCATAAACCCAACTGGTTGTGCAACATAAACTTCTTCGTCTAAGAGGTCATTTAGGAATGCAAATTTTACATTCATCTGACACGTGTGCCAGTTATTCATGTTTACTAGACCAACAACCAACCTGATTGCTTTGATCCTAGCAACAGGTGCAAAAACTTCGTCGAAGTTAGTTCCTTCTTTCTGAAGAAATCCTTCCGCCACAAGTCTCACATTGTGTCGAATTACTTCTTCTTTAGGATTCACATTCACCTTGTAAACCCATTTCACATCAATTGTCTTCTTGCTTTGAGACAATTCGACAAGTGACCAAGTGTTGTTGACTTTGATAGA